AAACAAAACAAACTACCCCTACTTTTGAGGCTGTATCAACACCATCAGTGTTTCCAGATGACCTGTTTACTGAATATCCATCTTGATTTGTTTTGGGGATGGTTTAGATAGCCCTGCATCACAGTAAATGTTATTCTACACTTTCCAGCGCATTTCCCTTTCACATGCTTTATCACCAAAAGTCAGATCTTTTGCAGTAAGCAGGTTTGTTTTGCAAGCCCTCCCAATCAACTATGATTTGCACAACCTGAATCTGCTGGCATGTGATTGAATTGCACCCCCCAAAACAGAGACAGTCTGCAAGCGCCCTCTGACCCTAGAGAATTAAGGTGGGGAAACTTTTCAAGGTAAGGAGAATGAAGAGGTTTTATTTGCTGCTGAAGCGCTGCGTGTCAGGGCTGCAGCACAAGAGAAGGACCAATCAAATTGTTGGCAGACCTGCAAATTCCACTTTACCTTTGCTGCTGAATCAAAAGATGATTAACCTACCCATTTTCCCACCGACCCTTTTGTCCACCCCCCTCCTTATCGCTCCATCATAACAAGCAGGGCACACAGGAGGTAAGGGAAGCCATTGAAATAATGGAAAGTGGAAATGGGTGGAAGCAGCAGAAGTGTTTTCATCTCCTGATTTAGCAGCATATTATAGAACAGGGGTGATGGAGAGTCAACGGATATGTTTTACTTTTTTCATCATCATGGTAAGCTGCACTTTAAGGCGGAAGCAGGACTGAAATCCTGCACACACCGGGTGTGGGTGTCTGCACATATGTGTGTTGTTGTATGCAATGTTTGGGAGGAAATAATAATAATAATAATTTTTTATTTATACCCCGCCCTCCCCAGCCAAGGCCGAGCTCAGAGCGGCTTACAAGCAATAATAAAAACAAGATGAATGATTACAACTTAAAAACAAAAATAAAATACAACATTAAAATAATGGAACATTAAAATATTAAAATGTAGCCTCATTGCAGGAGGAGAAGGAAAAGGAAAAAGAAAGAGAGGGAGGGAGGGAATCAAATTGGCTCCAAGCCAAAGGCCAGGCGGAACAACTCTGTCTTACAGGCCCTGCGGAAAGAAATCAGATCCTGCAGGGTCCTGGTCTCATGAGGCAGAGCGTTCCACCAGGCCGGAGCCAGAGTTGAAAAGGCCCTGGCTCTGGTTGAAGCCAATCTAACTTCCTTAGGGCCTGGGACCACTAGGGTGTTGTTATTTATGGACCTTGAGGCTCTCAGTGGGGCAGTAAATAACAAATAACAAACTAAATATCGATGTATGTAATTTTTATTTCTTAATTATATTTAGTGGTAGTATGGCTGTATTGTTTTTTGTAACATAAAATCATTCAATAAAAAATATTTTTTTTAAAAAAGAAATCCTGCACACACCTGTAAACAAAAACAATAATCTTCCATAACCTACACCTGAGCTCTCACATTGAAATCAAAGTTGCATGCTTATGTCTAAACAGACTCAGAAGTATTTGTGGCTCTGCATCTTAATACAGTGGACTCTTGCGGTTTAGCTGTATGAAGCTTCACTGTCACATTTAAACAACAATTTTCAAAAGGCGGCTAATTGATACTTTAATAATTATCACAGAAAGCTTTTTGGAGCAGCTCATTCTAAATGGCAGAGGCAGATAAGGCTTGGAAAATGAAGCACAAACTGCTTATTAAAGGACGCTCTGGCTCAGAGTCCACTTTGCTGGAAAAGCCCTGACTCCAGTTCTGGGGAACTTCAAAAGGAACTCCACCCACACTGCTCCCGCAACAGGAAGAACAGGTTGAGCTGGCATCTGTTCTGGAGGGTGACCAGATGCAACGAGGGATAGGGCTCCTGTAGCTTTAATAACTGTGTAATAAGAAAAGGAATCTGAACAGGTGCGGCATGCAAAAAGGTGCACCTGGCATAAAAGTCCTGCAATTTCAACCCTGCCACAGGGCAACTTAAAAACATAAACAACACTTAGAACCGAAACATCAACCAAGTACAATTACTCAAGTATGTGAAAACAGTCTGAAAACAGCATGGAAATATCTTTCCCCTTTTTGCTCTCCAGCTCGGCTTGCATGTTTCTTTCTACTCCGAAGAGTTCTAAAGGAATTAAGTGCAGGCAACAGAATGCCACTTGCTTGCCACACTAGGGAGCTCTCAAGTAATTACACTAGAGCAGGAGTACCCCTTTCTTTCAGCCCTTGTTTAGTGCAACTGTAAATCTGGTCCTCGCTAAGTAACACAGGGGGGAATTACCCTTGTAAAACAGAGGGAGTCATTAGTAGCCTGTTTACTTGGAGCTAACCTTCTGCCACTTTAAAAAACATTTTGGCTAGCGTCTGGCCCATAGCTTGCTCCTTCATAAAGAATGTGATTATCACCCCTCGATTGAGCATTGGTTCCTATTCATATCATACGCCACCACAAAAATCCAGCTGACCAACTTTTTGCTCAGTCCCACACTACATTCTGGAAGGATGTGATAATTCATAATATTCAAGAACATTATCTCTTGGTTATCATTTTATGTCTGATTTTTTTAAATACTTGTTTTCTAGTACAGTGGTTGTTGTTGTTAGGCTTAATACATGATAGCATTTTAAATTGTTCATTATGTTGTTATAACTATTTTTATATAAAATTGTGTCATTGTTTTTATTGCAGATGTTTGTATTATGAAATCACTCTGAGATACTTTATGGGAAGTGATTCATATTTGAATCAAATAAGTACATTTAAATAAATAAAAGGTGCTTTTAAAATAAGGAATTGCCTTATCTAGTCGTCTCAAATTGATTCACAAGCATACCATAAAAAAGCTAAAAATAGTTTTAAAAACAGCTAAAGATGGGTTTAAAAACAATGCAAAATGAGCACCTAAGGCTGAGACCTTTTCATCCAGCTGGAGATGTTGGTTGGAACAAAAATGTCTTCAATTGTTATTGTTGTTTTTCAGCTTGTTTGAAGGTCAATTGTGCCTTCATCTCTGAAATGCTTAATAAAAAGAACATAGTTGAAGAGAAAACAATTATTTGATTATCCTAAAGGAAAATAGGAGTGCGAACCCTTGCTTAGGGCAGAATTGGTAATATACAAACTCAGGGCTGCCACTCAAAATGGGAACAGTGAAGGTCCCTTTCCTCTCTGCATACCCCAAATAACAACACATAGTAACAATGCCCCACATACAACACACAATCCAATTAAGCTCACTTAATTACTGACATCATTTATGCTGTGTATGTTCATATCAGTACATGTCCAGCATGGGTCTGTTAAAAGCACAATTGCATCAGGACACGTAACAGTGTCAGGACATCAGTACTGCACGTCTCAGCAATGGAGAGCTCTCTGTTTCTTGAAACATGTCTTTCTGCCTTTACATTGCAAGTAGTTAAAACAATTGCTACTTTAATTGTGCTTGGGACCCCTCCAGATTGAATGAGTGGGGGACATAACAAAAGGGTCGTAGCTCAGAGGCTGAGCATCTGCTTTGCATGAAGAAGGTCCCAAGTTCAATTTCTAGGTAGGGCTGGGAGTGTCCGCTACCTGTAATCCCACAGAGCTGCTAAAAGGACCAGTGGTCTGACTCTGTAGAAGGCAGCTTCCTATGTTCCAAAATCCTTGACCTCTGAATTAGTTCACACAAAGCCAAGGTCTAGGCTGGGAAATATTTAACTCTCACAGGGGCTGGAGAGTATAGCTCAGAGCATGATGCTGATAATGCCAAGGTTGCAGGTTCGATCTCCACGTGGAACAGCTGCATATTCCTGCATTGCAGGAGGTTGGATTATAGGATCTTCAGGGTCCCCAAAATATGCAGCATTCAAGGTAAATATGGAAACCATAGAAGGGGAGGGTGGGAGGTCAATGGATAAAGCAACTTTTGTTTTATGCTAAAATTTGTAAAGTTCTTTTTGTGAAAAATCAGTAAATAAGATTTTTTTTAAAAAAGATGATCCTCAGGGTCCCTTCCAACTCTAAATAGACCTGAGCAGTCTTATCAGAAAGGGAGAGCTTTCGGAAAGCTTTTGGAGAGATGGAAAAATACAGAGTTAAGGGAAGGCCAAAAGAACCTTGGGTTGCTGGGGGTCTCCAGCTGCATCGAAACCAAACATTGAAAGCACATTTCCCCGCCACCCCGAAGAATTCTGGGAACTGTAGTTGTTTAAAGGTGCTGAGAACTGTAGCTCTGTGAAGGGTAAACTACAGTCCCCACGAAACGTTTCCCTGGGGGAGGGATCTCTTTTAAATGTGCTTTTGATGTATGGTGTGCACATAACCTCTCTCTCTGGAGATCTGCTGCATGCCAGGAGTGCTGATGCTGCTTGCCTCCATTTAGGCCCTTCTGGGATTGGGATATTGGTAAATAAGCCAGGCATTGCTGACACACCATCCATCTCCAGGGAGCTCTTTTCCAAGAGGAAGCCAGCCTCCAGGGAGCTCTTCCCCTGCATCCTTGGGAGATGTGGGGAGCACATCACAAATATGAATGCTTCTCATTGCATGTTGAGGTGTGTAAGACAAGACAGAGCTCCTGCATTTTTAGAGCTGTGTGGATTTCCCCACCACCACCTTCTTAAAGGCAGGGTGGCCCCAAACCCTTTCTAGCATAGCTATGAAAAGCATAGCCTGGTCACCCTAGTTCCAAATGAGAGAGAGAACGGCCCAGTCCATTGCTTGCTGTGCTGTCTGCAGCAAGATGGTACTGGAGAATGGCTGTAGTTCAGTGGTAGAGAACACCCCAGGTTTAATTCCCAGCATCTCCAGGTAGTATCCCCTGTTTGGAATCCTGGAGAATCAGTGTGTACAATGCTGAGCTAGATGAGCCAGTGGGCAGCTTCCTTGGTTCCTGTATTCCGCATGACCGTTCCGGTCTTTAGCAGTGGGCGAGAACCAATGCATTGCTTTCCCACCCACTGGGGCATCCCATTGCATTCCAATGAAAAAAGCAAAACTGACTTCACCACTATTTCTTTCGCAGACAACCTGCTCCCTACGTTCGAAGGAATGTTTCAGTGGGTGCAGTCACTTAAAACAGCCAAAGGGATCCTGGGGAGGATAAGACAGCTGGGCACATAGCTGAACACCCCTTCCTAAAGCACATGAAAAAAAGGGAAGAAAAGCTGGACTCAACCACCCTTCTCCTGAACTTGCCTTTAAAGCAATGGAATTCCCATCTGGATAAATTACTGATTCCAGATTCACATTTGAGATCGCCTATCCTGTTTCACATCTCTGCTGCAAGTCCTCCACCAAAGACTTTGTTGGTCCAGGAGAATGACAGCTGATCTTATTAGAGAAAATACCGTAAGAACAGTCCACATTTGTTGATGAGAATTTTGAAAACAATTTTGTTTATTCTCAGCCGGTTTGATCAAACCCAGCAAAAATTAGTTGGTGGAGGTATGCAAAGCAGAACAATGATTAATGTAAACAAATAGACAAACCCAAATAAGCCACCAATATTCTCTTTTTCATTTCTTGTTAATATGGAGGATAAGGAAGAAATTGTTAATTTTGTTGCAGCTGCCTATAAATAATTATCGTCCCAGGCCTTTGTGATATGAACTAACCCACAGTGCCTAAATTAAAGGATAGTTGTTGTAAACTATATATTTAAGCCTCCACTCTTGTGATATAAACTGGGTGTGACTATGTTTGCCCATAGAGAAAATAATACCAAAAAATATTTAGGAGTAACAAAGGTTGTGTAACGAAGGGAGTGTCTGAACTATTGTGTCTGACCTTTCCAACTCACTGCCAAATTGTGCCTGACCTCTCCATCTTGAAGATGTCTAACTTCATCCCCTGATGCCTAGCTTCCCCGGTATTTCTGAATGTTCCCTGGCAAACCAACAGATTAAGTAGGAGAAAGGTCAACAAGTTAAGTAGCTTGGTGGGGTCCACACTGCTGCATCAGAGCAAGTCAGTGTAAGCAGGAGGTGAGGTGAGAGCAACGTGTGCACACCTTCACCTTGCTAAGAACATGGAGTGACCTGAGTTGGGAATCTGCACCAAGGCAAGGAGACCCAACTATCGCCTTCAAGAGGTGTGCAGCAATTATCCACCCATGTTTCAGGAAACCTGTTACTAAGCTGGCTGACAGCCAGGTTGCATCAGCCCTGCATCTTAGCTTTGAATGCAGGCTAGCATGAAAAGGGTGCTTGATTAAAGTAGCCTTGGAAAACTATGGCATCCTGGAGAGGTGAACTAGAAGTATTTACAGTTCTTTGAAGTCACATCTCTGATGCCCTTTTGTATTTGTGTGTTGTGAAAATATGACTGCATTTGGAATACTGTGTACAGTTCTGTTTGCCTCGCCTTAAAAAGGATATTGTAGAGTTGGAAAAGGTTCAGAAAAGGACAAGCAAAACAATCAACCACCCTACTTTGTAGCATGGCTCTTTTTTTCATAGAGAATAAAAGGCCAAAGATGTGTTCATAGATCTCAGGTGTCACATCAGATTTGAGGCTTCTGTTGCAGCTACTGATTGCATCCAATTCTCTCTTGGACCCTGAGAGAATTAGTTGCCTGATCAGGAGCAACTGTAGCTATTTAAGAGCTTAGGTAATTGTATATGTCCAGCTTAGAAAACTTGGCTTGCTGCTTTTCAAGTGAAAGAATTGATTAATATACTTGGGAGCTGGGCAATTGAGTTCCCTTTATTAGGGAATTAATCACTAATATGTCTTCTTGCTTTTGATTAAAACAGGGCTGTTGTTGCCATGTCTCAGCAAGAGAGTTCTGTAGAGAAATACTGGAGAAGATACTAGGCATTCCCTACCCCTGATGCAACCCTAACCCTGCCCACTAAATTTACTGTCCCTGCTCTTTCGTACTGATCATTCCTGTATATTCCATTCATTCATTTCTTCTTCCATCCAATTGTTATCCTTGCTTTTCTATAGCCGCCTACATTTCTGCAGTCAGGGATAGCTACATTGCCTTTCCACCCCATCTCTGTCCATTTCTTCCTGCTCTCAGGGCCGGTCCTATCATTAGGTAAAGTGAGGCCACTGCCTTAGGCAACAGAGGTTCAGGGTGGCAGCTTCCTTCCACCCATTTCTCTTGAGCGTCCTGGGTGTTCCCCTCTTCTGCAGGAGAATGGAGTGATGTACACCACACAGCCTTGCCTGGACCATCTAAGCTAGTCTGTTCACAGGTGCAGTGAAGGCCTCTGTCCTATCACCAGCACTAAGCACGATTCAACAGCCAGTGTGGTTGGCTTCTGTACATGGAATGGAAAGCACTTTCCTTTTGCCTCAGGCAGCAAAGTGTATTGAGCTGGCCCTTGATTATGACAAGGAGGTAACCACCACCTTCCTTCTCTTTCCCCATTGTTCATCCCCTCCCCCTCCTTGAATCTGGCATTGTCTCAGCAGCAAAACTTGAATAATGCCTTCTGGCTCTGCCACAGGTCCCACTTCCTAGTCTTCTCCACCCATCACAGTTTCCTGTCCTTGGAATGCTACAGTGTGAAGTCTCAACCTGCCACTACCTGAAGAATCTTTGGGAACTTCCTGGAGCCCCAGGGAGGTGTGCTGTCGAGTGTAGTGCCCATGCCAAAATTGAGGAGCTCTTGGCTCAGATCTCAGCTCATGCTGTATGTTCATTGAGTGGAACTAGGCAAATTGCTCTCTCGCTCTCTTAGCTCCAGCCTTATCTAACACGGGGATAATAACACAGGCCTGACAGGGATTACTGAGTTTATGCATTCGAGTACTTAGGAAAAGTGATGCTTAATAGTGTATTATCAGGATATATGTTGAAGCCATCACAAGAATGCTTGGGTATGTCTAACCCACTGAAAGCACAGACACACAGAGGAGGAACAGTCACAGCATTTGGGACTTTTTAGTTTGGGGAACAAGGTGACTAAGAGGTGATGTGGCAGAATTTTATAAAATTATGCACGGCGTTGAGAAAGTGAAGTTTTTCTCCCTCTCTCATAACACTAGAACTCGCGGACATCCAAACTGAAGGCGAATGCTGGAAGATTCAGGACAAATAAAAAGAAGCGCTTCTTCACACCAGGCTTGGTTAAACTATGGAACTCCCTCCCACATGAGCAGTGATGGGCACCAACGTGGGTGGCTTTAAAAGAGGACTGGACAAATTCATGGAGGAGTAAACTATCAAGGGCTACTAGCCATTGTTGACTATGCTCTGCTTCCATGGTCAGAGGCAGTAACACTTCTGAATACTAGTTTCTGGAAATCTCAGGCGGGGAGAATGCTTTCATGATCAGGTCCTGCTTGTAGGTTTCCCACAGGCATCTTGCTTGTCACTCTGAGAACACAATGCTGGACTAAATGCCCATTGGCCCAGTATACCTGAAGGAGCGAATCCACCCCCATCGTTCTGCCCAGACACTGAGGTCCAGCGCCAAGGGCCTTCTGGCGGTTCCCTCACTGTGAGAAGCAAAGCTACAGGGAACCAGGCAGAGGGCCTTCTCGGTAGTGGCACCCGTCCTGTGGAACACCCTCCCATCAGATGTCAAGGAGATAAAGAACTACCTGACATTCAGAAGACATCTTAAGGCAGCCCTGTTCAGGGAAGTTTTTAATGTGTGACATTTTAGTGTATTTTTGGTCTTTGTTGGAAGCCGCCCAGAGTGGCTGGGGAAACCCAACCAGATGGGCGGGGGAACAAATAAATTATTATTATTATTATTATTATTATTATTATTATTATTACCCTAATCCAGCAGAGTTCTTCTTCTTTTATTATATATGAGTTATTTAGAGCAGCCTTCACCAAGTTGGTGCACTCCAGGTGGTTTGGACTACAACTCCCCTTGTGACATAGATTGAGCTGGCTGGGGGCTGCTGGGAGTTACAACCAAAAACATTTGGGGGGCACCGGGTTGGAGAAGGCAGATCTAGAGAATGATGGGCTAGATGAACCTTGAGGCCTAGTTTCCATCTCATCATCTCCCAAAGTCATGCTCAGCCACTTCAGGTTTTCACAGCAGTACATAGTGAGCTCTTGACTACTTCACTACTTTGGTTTCAAATGCAGTGTTCCCTGCTGACCTTAGATATACTTTGAGTAAAAAAGAAAGAAAGAAAAGGTACACGCTTAATGAGACGTAGGCAGCAAAATGTCGCCCCCTCCAGTGCTTTTACAACAGAGGGAGGTTAGAGGAGGCAAAACAGCACCCTTCTATCAACAAGTTGTGGCCTTTCGCTTTCACTTGATATCTGTCTGGAAGTTTTGCTTTAATTTAATTGATCGATTAGTGATTTAAAAGGCAGCTAAAATCCTGTAATGGGCTGACAGGACAAGAGTGCCTGGTAAATGAGCAGATTCCTGCTGGTTCACACTTCATTATTTTTCTCTGATCATGATGTGGAAAAAGACATTAGATATGCTCAATGCACATTTGAAAGCAGGGTAGTTGTGATGATTAAGTGATGTGTTTGCTGCCCTTAATGTTTGAAGGATGGGTAGGATGCACATCTGAGAAAGGAAGAAAAGACCCATGTGGTCTTCAAAGAATTGGCCTGTGGAGTTTGCAGCACGTTCTACATATGAACTGTTTAAGAAACGATACAAGATCTTCTTGCCCTTGGAGAAGGTGACATGTCAGAATGCATCCTTCGGCGTATCATTTGATACATCAGTTCTCTCTGTGTGTATTGGCTTCAAGCCGTTTTCTGGGGGGCAGGGGAGTGGCTCCTCTTCATCTTTTTGTTCACCAAAGAACATCTCCAACCCGCCCCCCAAATCCCAAAGATCGTTGGAAGCAAAATGAGAGAATTCTCAGTTGACACAACACATTCTTTCCAGGACAGACAGAGGGTGTTTTCCCTAAGACCCTGGCAGGTTCTGGAACTGGCACCTCAAGGCAGCTACCGCCTTTAAATCAAGGGTGGGGAGATTCAGGCCCTCCAGGTCTCTCTGTGTGGGCCTGGCCACACACACACTAGTCCACCCACCTTGAGTGCTTTTGCCTGTCTGGAATGTGCCCTCAAATTGTGACAGTGCCTCTTGCTTGCCTAGAGCGAAGGGGTGTGTGCTTGTAAACCTTTGACTTTTGCATGGCTGGAGCAGAGCCTACTGTACAAAGGTAATAGTCACATCAACTTTTCTGTCCCTGTCTCTCTGGCCACAATCTGCCCCGGCACACGGCCCCTGAAAAGTTGCCCATCTGACTGAAGAACTGGCTTTGAAAGATGTCCAGGCTGTTTCAGCTAAACCTAGGCTGCCTGCACACACAAGAGGAAGCCGTCACTTCAAAATTAAAGTGCATGAAATCATACAGCAGTAACGAGATTATATATATATATATATATATATGCTTTCGTAGATTTTCACGGGTACAGGAATGCAGGTTTTGGTGTCCTCGGGTGTCTTCCCGTGTAAAAGTTGGGGTGTCTAGGCGACGTTTCGACGAGGTCTCACTCGTCATCTTCAGGCTGGTGTTTTCGGCTTCTTGTTACTGGAACAGAGCAGGATCTCAGTGTTTGAGTTCCTATAAATACTGTTGAGGGGGTGTGGTGTATAGCCTCCAATGTTCTGGGCAGAGAGGAAGTTCCCAGGCTAGTGTGCCTTTTCTTCTTTTGTTCCTTAATTACTTGAGGGATATCTTGAGTGATTTCTTGAGTGATATTCTGAGTACCACTTAGGTGGGTCATTAGGTGTGGATTAGTTGCTAAAGCCTTCGTGTCTTGACCTCTTGAGCTTTGTGAAGAGTTTTTCTGAGAAGATGGCTGTACTGCACTTAGTTGTGCTCTGGCTTGGCTTCGTGTATAGGGGCGAGCTGTGGTTTTGTGTCCTGTGCCAGCCAGATCTGTGTAGGGATTGCAGGGGGGTGCAGCATCCGGGGGTGCCACCATGGTTTGGCTACTGGATGGTGTCTGTAATTTATCTGTGGAGAGGGTCTGGGTTTGGGTCTGGTGTGGTTGATTGGTGATGGCGTTCTGTGTGCCTCTGGATCTGGTGTCGGTTTTTGTGGGGAGGGCTAATTTCCAGATGTCTGGCAGGCGGGATGTGTCGTCACGCTTGTTCATGTTGTGAGGGTGTTTCTCTATCTCGATGGCTTCCATGATTATTCTCTTGTGGTGATGTTCCATGTTAAAGAGCAATTTGGAATCTGCAAAATTAATTTCGTGTCCTGTTTCTTTCATGTGTTGGAAAAGAGAGGAAGTTTTTTCTTCTTTTTTGACGGCATTCTTGTGTTCTGCGATACGTGCATTTATTCGTCTGTTTGTTTGTCCAATGTACGTGGCTGGGCAGACTTTGCAGGGTATTTCATAGACCCCTTGGTTTTCCAACTGGATTTTATCCTTGGGGTTTCTGAGGATATTGGCTATTTTTTGGTTGGTGCAAAAGGCTGTTTTGATATTGTGTTTATGGAGGATTTTGCTAATTTTATCAGTAGTGCCCTTGATATAAGGAAGGAGGGCCATGCCATTGTTTTCTTCTGTGTCTTGGTTTTTGGGGGGTGTTTCTTTTTGGATTAGCTTCGTAACCCTGTTTTGCTGGTATCCATTGGCGATTAACACATTTGAGAGATTCTGTAACTCAGTTGTCCACAATGGACAAAGATACAAACAGATAGAAGGAGCACCTATGGGATCACCCCTCTCACCGGTCATCGCAAACCTGTACATGGAACACTTTGAAACCAATGCTTTAGACAAGTCAGAACACAAACCCAAACTGTGGCTCAGATATGTTGACGACACCTTTGTAATTTGGCCACACGGGAAGGAAAAACTAGATAGCTTCCTCACACATCTCAACAGCCTACACCCCAAAATACAATTCACTATGGAAATAGAAGCCAACAACCAACTTCCCTTCCTTGACGTCCTAATCTACAAAAAACCTGATGGCTCCCTAGGACACACTATCTACCGGAAAAAAACACACACCAACCGCTACTTACATGCACAATCACACCACCACCCTGCACAAATAAACTCCGTAGCCAAGACTCTCATCTCCAGAACCAAACGCCTGGCTGACAAAGACCACTTGACAACTGAGTTACAGAATCTCTCAAATGTGTTAATCGCCAATGGATACCAGCAAAACAGGGTTACGAAGCTAATCCAAAAAGAAACACCCCCCAAAAACCAAGACACAGAAGAAAACAATGGCATGGCCCTCCTTCCTTATATCAAGGGCACTACTGATAAAATTAGCAAAATCCTCCATAAACACAATATCAAAACAGCCTTTTGCACCAACCAAAAAATAGCCAATATCCTCAGAAACCCCAAGGATAAAATCCAGTTGGAAAACCAAGGGGTCTATGAAATACCCTGCAAAGTCTGCCCAGCCACGTACATTGGACAAACAAACAGACGAATAAATGCACGTATCGCAGAACACAAGAATGCCGTCAAAAAAGAAGAAAAACTTCCTCTCTTTTCCAACACATGAAAGAAACAGGACACGAAATTAATTTTGCAGATTCCAAATTGCTCTTTAACATGGAACATCACCACAAGAGAATAATCATGGAAGCCATCGAGATAGAGAAACACCCTCACAACATGAACAAGCGTGACGACACATCCCGCCTGCCAGACATCTGGAAATTAGCCCTCCCCACAAAAACCGACACCAGATCCAGAGGCACACAGAACGCCATCACCAATCAACCACACCAGACCCAAACCCAGACCCTCTCCACAGATAAATTACAGACACCATCCAGTAGCCAAACCATGGTGGCACCCCCGGATGCTGCACCCCCCTGCAATCCCTACACAGATCTGGCTGGCACAGGACACAAAACCACAGCTCGCCCCTATACACGAAGCCAAGCCAGAGCACAACTAAGTGCAGTACAGCCATCTTCTCAGAAAAACTCTTCACAAAGCTCAAGAGGTCAAGACACGAAGGCTTTAGCAACTAATCCACACCTAATGACCCACCTAAGTGGTACTCAGAATATCACTCAAGAAATCACTCAAGATATCCCTCAAGTAATTAAGGAACAAAAGAAGAAAAGGCACACTAGCCTGGGAACTTCCTCTCTGCCCAGAACATTGGAGGCTATACACCACACCCCCTCAACAGTATTTATAGGAACTCAAACACTGAGATCCTGCTCTGTTCCAGTAACAAGAAGCCGAAAACACCAGCCTGAAGATGACGAGTGAGACCTCGTCGAAACGTCGCCTAGACACCCCAACTTTTACACGGGAAGACACCCGAGGACACCAAAACCTGCATATATATATATATATATATATATATATATATATATATATAATTTTAATAAATTTATTTAAAAGGAAAAAAGGAAAGGCACACTAGAAGAATTGTCAGTGTTATGGGAAAGACGTATTAAAAAGGTGCATTTGACCAAGCCTGCAACATTCAAACACACACACAAAAACCCCTGGGGAACAAAAGATTGGCTACCTTTGTTCATCTGGTTCAGCTGGTTCGTTCCTTTGAAGAGCCACGAGGGAAGAAAAGGGTACCAGGTGCCAATGTAATTCTGCAACCCTCCCTAAGCCCTTAGGATAGAAAGGGATACAAATTGAAACAAATGAAGGCTGCCTAATTACAACTTAACTCCCTCCCACCCTATCCTATAGGCTTATGTTGATGAACAACATGCAAAACATAATACATACCAACAGCAAACTCCAGACATAGGTCCTTATGTAGTCAAATATCACTAGGCTCAGGAAAACCCCAAGGTTCATTTATTTATTAACTGCATTTATAGCCCACCTTTTTCTCCAAGGAGCAAAACGTGGCATGCATGGGTCACCCCTCCTCATTTAATCCCCACAACAACCAATGCAGGTAGGCTACGCTGAGGGGCAGTGACTGGCCCAAGGTCACCCAGTGAGCTTCATGAGAATTCGAACCCTGGTCTTCCAGGTCCTAGTCCAGCGCTTTGACCATTCCTCTAGGAAACCAAAAGGTTTACAAAAGTTGTTAGTAAAAAAACCCCCACAGAAAACTCAAACCCTAAGAGAGGAACCCTGCTAACAGGCCAGTGCAAATGGAGCATGCTCAGTGGCCACCAAATGCTGATTGACAGTTACAGGGGACAGGGGAATGGAATGGAGTAGCTTGGGAAAGGATGTGGCTGGCTGGGATCCTGAACAGGAGCACTCAGCACTGAAATGTTTTCTTGCAGCCCCTCTTGTATAAATTAGGAAACAGGGCATGGAGGCAATTATCTGTCCTGACCCAGAGCTTTCCCCACAAAACCTGCTCTTTAAAGCTGAATCAATTTGGGTTTCCATAGACTGACATTTGCTCCAATTGAGCTTTAGAGAACGGGTTTTCGCTGAGTATGCTCTGGAGCAAAAAGAAAAAAGAAAAAAAGAAAAAAAGTGTTTAAATTTAAAGACTACTTGCAGAAATACTGTAAAATTAATGAATGTTAAAATGATGTTGGATTGAAAATAAGTGGTATTGGTAACAAGATTAACAAGAATATGCAAATACGGATTGATAATTGATGAAAATATATAGTTATAATAGGCTAAGATATAGAGTAAAGATAAATGAAAGAGGTTAAGGATTTGCTGAAATGTTTTTGTAAATGGGAATACAAAAAGGGGAGGTGTGAGGAGGTCAAGGAAATAAGTAAATGAGCCTAAAGATATTGAAAAATGGATTTATTTTTTCTTTTTTTTTCTTTTTAGCTATTTGTTTTTTGTATTTTGTATCTTTTTTCTTCTTTTTTTCTATGTGTGTTTTTTAGTTTGTTAATCTTTGTTTTAACTTTCTCTATTCTGTAAACCTATGGGTTTTTTTTTGTAAAACCTTAATAAATATCTCTTTTTTTAAAAAAAAGTGTTTGGACACAGAACTTTAAATCGTGGGCTGTGCCTGGAAAGAGCCGAGGAAAGGTAAGTGTGGGATAAACCCAGAGGGGGCTTATTGTGTTTCTTTGAGTTTTTATTGTGTATTTTGGGTTCTTATTTTGCATTTTTATGTTGTGAACCTCCTTGTCATCTTTGAATGAAGGGCAGTACAAATTTAATGTTGTTGTTGTTGTTGTTGTTGTTGTTGTTGTTGTTGTTGTTGTTGTTGTTGTTATTCCTGCCAAACCCACACTTAAAAGCCCTTGGCTGATGTGCTACATTTGAGTAACCCATCAGTCAAATCCATCTTCTGTGTGAGAACCCTAGTATGAAGAACACTATCGTGGCTGCTGGAAGTGCAACAGCAGAGATCATTCAGTATATAACTTAAGGGTTAATTTTGTTGTCATTGTTAGCCAACTACCTGAGGGGGAGCTTTTGCTTAGCAACCAGCCAGAGTGGTGTGATCTGATTGGCTGTGTGCTCCCGGGGATGAGGGATTTATGCTGGTTTATCTCCAGCTGAGCTAGGCCTGCGGACTTCTGCTAGTATAGCCTGGCCAAGTTGGGAGCCTGCTAGCTGAGCTGGAGCTCCTCCATATCCTAACCTGCTCACATTGGCAGATGTAGGGATAAGATTGCTCCCTTAGTTGGCTGTTAGCTGTTTTTATGATGTTGTTAGTGCATGCATTTCGATGTGCTGGTATCATGCCTTTTTGCTGTGAGCTATTCCCCAAATCCAATACAAAAATGTACCAAGCTGCTCAGAATGGGACACGCCACTTCAGATGCAGACTGACCAGTATCTCAATAGTAGCATGTGTTCTTTTAATTACCGGTATATTATGCAAAGTGTTTGCAGTCGCTTTTCAGGGCTACACCCTCACAAAGGGACACACAAGTAGGAGCAAGGCGTGCTATAATAGCCACATTAGAGATGATGCATAACAATTAAAAAGCTGCTCTGTAACACCCAAGCAACCTCATGACACTCTCAGATAAAGGCAACATTGCAGAGGAAGGTTTTCAACGCTCACCTAAAAGTAGAGCAGAATATGGCTGCTAGATTGCTGAGTGGGGCAGTCTGATGGGACCATATGTCACCAGTCCGGAAATCGCTGCGCTGGCTGCCGGTGAACTTCAGGTGTTCATTCCAACAACCACTTGGGACACTATAGTACCAAAGAGATCATCTCTTCAAAATTTCTCAAGCTTTACAATTGTCAAGGGAGGTCTTGGTGCTGGTGTCCCCCCAATTGGCACTTTTTCTGACAGGACCTTCTTGGTGGTGGCTTCCTGTTTGTGGAATGCCCTCCCTGGTGAGGTTCATCTGGCTTCCTGTTAACATTCAAGAAGATTTTAAAGACATCCCTCTTCACTCTGGCATTTGATGGCTAAAAGATTCCGTTCCCGACAACCTCGAAACTATTAACTGTGAGGATACATGATTGTTTTTAAAAAGATGTTTTTAATGTTTTAATTTTTTTTAATGTTTTGCTGCTTTATTGCTTGTCCCCCTAGGTTTCTTTGGGACGAATTTAATCTAATTATTATTATTTTTGCCTGGTACAGATACGGTGAGGCTCAAGTCTATAGGAAGGAGGTTTCAATTCTATAGCTGCCACCAAGAAGATCTTGTTTCTTTTCCATACCACTGAACCAATCTTAGCAGCAGACACACGAGAACAAACCCTGAAGCTGATGTTAGTGTACAGGCAGGGTTTGGACTTGGGACCAAATAACCTGGTCCCAAGTCATTTAGGGCTTTGAGAGGTTAATTCCTGCACTTTCAATTGGACCTGGAGGTTGACTGGCAGCCAGTGAAGCTGACATAAAATTGGTGTTATGTTTTCAGGCTTTCCGACCTCCACCAGCATCCACAAACAGCTGCAATTACCATATTGGCCTCAGAGGCCGACCCCAATAAAGTGCATTGCAGTTTCGAGGAATCCTGTGCATAGATGGCCGAGGCCACTTCAAATAGGTTTGCAATTAGCAGGTGTTTTCGGAAAGCACTCCGGACAACAGCTGTTACCTGTGACTCACCAGACAACTGCAAGTCCAGGACTACTGCCAAGCTATCCTCCTGGCCCTTTAAAGGGAATACAATCCCATCTGCACTCCCCTATCCAGATGTGCTGATTCCCAACCCACAATATGCTAACCAAAACAGCCAATCTTCAAAATCTGAACTTCTCAGAATTTTGCAATGCAGTGCCCACAGCAAACTGTACAGAACTGCGTATAACTAGGATAAAACGTGCATAAAATACACATGTATCAGTGAAAATAACATACAAAAATGCATTTTATCTGGGGGAATTGCTTTGAAAAAATGTTTATATTAGTCAAAATAGCATACAAAAATGTGTGCATGGGGGGGAATTGCTGAAAAAAGCTGGTGAATTTTCACAAGGATTTCTTTTTTAAAATCAAGGTTTTTAAGGAAATGTGGAGAATTTAACTTAAATAAATATGAAAAAACCCAAAACTTGGAGAACCAAAAGTGACAGATTTATTCATCTCGAACCAGGACTCATCCCTCCCAGTTCTCCACGAACCTTCAAAACTGCTAGGAGATGCTCTGGACCAAATTTTGCAGGTGTGCAAGAAGAGAGGAGGAGGCAGCCAAATACCATTGTCTGAGTGGAAGTCTGTCTGTTCAGCACTGAATACAATCCTGTGTTTCACTTCCCCTGTCTCAGATTAAGTTTCGGCCGGTAGCAAGCAGCAATATTTATATTGTGCTTCTTTAGTGCTCAAAACACTTCACAGCGTCTTGGGGAATGTAGATGTTTGGAAGAGCTGCAAGAGATTCAGTGGGCGAAGTTGACAAAACAGCATGCAAAAACTCAGTGTGCATGGAATATACCTCCCACATAGAGAATTCTACAGGCCTTTGCAAGGGTTTGAGACAGAATAATCAAGTGCTCTGCAGCTGATCAGAGATTTATTCAGTTTCATCCGAATCCTAATGACCCAGCAGGCTCTTTGCACATCCCACTTGCAAGACAAATGTTACCACTATTAACTGCTTTGCTCAATAGCTTGCTTTTCCACTGGTTCCCATCTGTCATAGTTTAAGAGCTGGAACATTTTCAGACGAGAGCAATTGTGATAAGATTATCTTCAGAGCAGCTCCCTACACAGATGCTATGTAGGATAGGAAGCAGCCAAGGAGGCCAAACAAGACTCCCATCAAAGCGCAGGTCTTTCCAGCCCAGCCTGTCTTGCCTTGAATGGCAAGAAGCAAATACATCTGCAAGGATTAGCAAACACCATTTGATGCAAACGAATCAGGAGTGCCTGACCTGAGTAATGCTCGCAATCAAAGCAGCTTCAAGGGAGTGACAAATGGTGTGAAGTCATTTAATGTATCTAAGTAAAGACAACCGTGGACAGAGCATCTTAATTGTTGCATTAAGTGCATTTAGGTGAACTCAATAAAGATTGATTTCTTCATTGTGTTTTCCAAGTAATGTATGTTTTTTTTTCTTTCAGAAAGTCCTTGCTTGCCTAAGCTAGGGTCTTTCCAAGTTGTCCTGCTAGGAGACAGGGTTATTTCCTGTTGCTTTATTTAGACACAGGCTTCTGTAATACAGATGTGTGAACCAGAGGAGGTTGGTTGGTCTATCAGGGTGAATGGCACACTACCCCATCAACCTCACTTTGTCCCCAATCACTTACCTGCCTTCTTACCAGGAGGTGGCTCTGCTGCTTGGCTCTCTGGCCCCACCTTCTGTTGGCCTCCTTGCTTTGTGCCCTGCCAGTATTTATTTATTGAATTTATATCCCACCCCTTCTCCTCAGTATCCATGGGCGCTGTCCACCAGTGATGTCAACTTGCCTTTCTCTTGTTTACTCAAACCGTGGGACTTTGGAAAGTCTGGGGCTCACAGTTCAAGAAGGACACTGACAAACTGGAACGTGTCCAGAGGAGGGCAACCAAAATGGTCAAAGGCCTGGAAACGATGCCTTATGAGGAATGGCTAAGGGAACTGGGCATGTTTAGCCTGGAGAAGAGGAGGTTAAGGGGTGATATGATAGCCATGTTCAAATATATAAAAGGATGTCATATAGAGGAGGGAGAAAGGTTGTTTTCTGCTGCTCCAGAGAAGCGGACACGGAGCAATGGATCCAAACTACAAGAAAGAAGATTCCACCTAAACATTAGGAAGGACTTCCTGACAGTAAGAGCTGTTCGACAGGGAATTTGCTGCCAAGGAGTGTGGTGGAGTCTCCTTCTTTGGAGGTCTTTAAGCAGAGGCTTGACAACCATATGTCAGGAGTGCTCTGATGGTGTTTCCTGCTTGGCAGGGGGTTGGACTCGATGGCCCTTGTGGTCTACTCCAACTCTATGATTCTATGATTCTATGATTCATGGACACATAAAAGAGCCACAATTAATGTATCAGAGATACATAGCAATCTCTCTACAGTCAGAAAGCATGTGGACTTTGTTGCTGTAAATTAGGAACCTTCTCCCCCACCAGAAACTGAAACTTAAACAGCACCACATAAACTGGATATTGATTATCTTCTATGTACTGATGGAAAGAGGCAAAGCTCCGGTAAATATTGCCAAATCAATAGTTCTGGAGAAATAAGTGAGTGCAATAATGAGATCTCATTGTAGCAAAACAAATCCATGGTGGCTTATTGCCAAGATCAGGCGGCAGCTGTGTCATGAATGCATGGCACCACCAGAATGTCTGGAAAGGTGTGTTGAGCTGTGTCAGTTCTGTGTGCAAGTGTCACTTTTGCATACAGGCCCTATTTTCCCATGGCAGTCGGTTCCTGGCAGGGATACACAACAAATTCACAACTTATCGGTTTCAATATTCTATTTTTATCTCGTACAACCCTGGGGGCTTCAAGCTATGATGCAGTTTTTAAATTTGTTAAATAAAAATAAAAGAACTTAACTAACCAGCAGATCAAAATGTAGCTATCCTTTGGATTTTTCACTACTCTGAATTGCACCAAAGCAAGAGTTGATCCTGTTGCTTTTGTCCATGGAGTTTTCTTGGCAGGGATACTAGAGTGGCTGGCAGGTTCCTGCTCCAGGTGGATCACGTTTAGTCAAAACCCTCCACTATGACCTGTCCATCTTGGGTGGCCCTGCACGGCATAGTCAAGGCAGTGATCCATGAAGGAGTGATCCACGAAGGAGCCATGATGAGGTCACAAAGAGTCAGACACAACTAAACAACAAAAGTGTTGATCCACACATCCCAGTGCATTTTCCCATCACTGTCCTTATTGCAAAAACTCCAATATTTGGAGGAAGTAGGTTGTTGCACAGGACTTTCCAAGCAACTCTAATTGTGCAACTTGGTGTGATTGAAAACAGGAACTGTCTCAAAGCACCCATGGTTGGTCTAAAACCCCACACCCAGATATTCCAATTGGTTAAAAGCAGGATTCTTTTTTAAAAAATGGGGCAATATTAAACATGCATTCCCTTAGTTTGATGTGGAAAGAGCTGTAGCAGATCCTCCTGTTTATGTAGCCTGGGCTCTGAAATGTACACTATAGCCACAGGGCTCAGTTGCTTCATCGCTCCTTCATCAAGATTAGGGACCACATTGACATTCATTGGAGAAGAGCCAAAACATAAATATGGACAGTCTAGTATGTACAGGTACTAGCAGCTGTAGATTTTGTCACTGTTCCATATGTTTTGTTTTTCTTCAATTCTATTGCAATGCATTTGTAGTCTCTGTGTCAAGCCGCCCTGGGAATACAGACTTGTTGATGGTGTGGGGATATGGATTTAGTAAATAAAGATAACAACAATTCTATTAAATCTTAATGCAAAAGTTAAAATATTTAAGAATGAGGGTCTCACACTTGTCAGTTACCCCAGTGCCTTCACACTCGCTGAGCTAGATCCAGACTTAGTCATTCTTAAGGCAGATCCATTGAAATCAATGGGTCTTACGTTATTTCAGTGAGTCTTCTCTAAACCTGCATTCCTTAACTGGGAGTAGGCAACTTTAAATTCAACAGGACTAGACATGGGCAGGATTGCACTATTAGTCTGGTTCCAGCCCATAGACCACAATACTGGAAAATGAGACCAAAGCTATTTCTTAGTGAGAAACTATGTGAAATACTCCTTACATGGTGTGTGTGTGTGTGTGTGTGTGTGTGTGTAAATGGGATAGAGACTTACTGTTATGTACTGAAGTTCTCACCCTGGGCCAGCAGGGGGATACTGTAGATAGTTTTCACTCAGGTCCACATATGCAAATAAGGAATTGAAAGTTACATTCAGTGATTGGATAGTTACAGAAAGTTGTTACTGTTGCCTTGTAGTTGAGCTCTATATAAGCAGGTTGGCTGAACCCTTCAGCTCAGTTCTGTTCTGGGCCTGTGAATAAACAAGAGCTGTTTGAAGAATCGCTGTGTCGTCTGATATGTTCACCCACAACTTAATACTTACTTCACCCATTCCCTCAGCCCTGCAACTTTACAGGATATGCTCAAGTAAATTCAGCGCAAAAAGAAAGAATAAAGGAATAAATACTAGTGTCAAAGGGCAGACTCAAAGAAATAGAAATAAAAGATGGTGAATATAATTCTACAAGAGGGGTCAGGATGTAATGTCTGAGGGAGCACACAGAAAAATCATTCTAGTGCTGCAAACCCTTTCAGACCCCACAAGTATAAATTTATCTAGTTGGTCTAGTCATTAAAACGGTTCAATCTTATTGTCACTTCCTACTGCTACAAAATGTTTTACAGAAGTCTGAAATACTTTATAAAAGGAAACAATTTACCCACCAACAAGACTTTATAGCATTGGTCAGCACTGGCCTTGAACTGAGAAGAAATGTTATCCCAGGCACAGGGAACCTGTTGCCCACCAGACATTTTGGACTCCATTGGCTGTGCTGGCTGGGTCTAATGGGAAATGGAGTCAAATATCCTCTGGAGGGCACCAGGTTCTCCATCCCTGCATTATCCACAAGAACCTTCCATACTTGTTCAAAACCATGTTCCTGATCTTTGAGATTGTTAAGTTGTGGGTGAACATATCAGATGACACAGCGATTCTTCAACAGCTCTAGTTTATTCACAGGCCAGAACAGAACAGAACTGAAGGGTTCAGCCAATCTGCTTATATAGAGCTCCACTAGTAACCATTTTCTGTAACTATCCTATCACTGAACGTCACTTTCAATCCCTTATTTGCATATGTGGACCTGAGTGAAAACTATCTATAGTATCCCCCCTGCTGGCCCAGGGTGAGAACTTCAGTACATAACAGAGATGTTGATACATTTGCACACCTTTGCTACCTACAATTTAACTGCAGTCAAGGCGTGGACAATTCAATGACTACAGAGATTGCCTCTGGACTGAAGATGCTGAAAACTATTGTCCCCCAATGTTGACAGGAGCCAGAATCTGCTCTCAGGATTTTTATTTTTATTTTGCAGTTTGGGGACACCACCATCATGCATGGCAGCAGGGCTGGCTAACTTCTCAAAGCTGTGTGCATACAATGAACATAAAACCGAAAATCAAAAGGTGGAAAGGCACAGATCTGAAGAAGGTAAACCACTTAGATTGCAGGGAAATTCATCTTGCATTCCTTGTATAGCTTCACCAGTTAGGTACGGTGAGGTATACGTGAACAGATAAGACGAGGAAGCTGATATCTCTTGGAATGCTGAATGTATCTGGCATTTCTTTACCTTATTGTCACATTAAATAAGGCAAGGAAGATTACGCGCAAGCATTTTGATCAAGGGATGCAGTGGTGCAGAAGACTATCATGTGCCTTTCGTCAGCTTAGCTTAAGTTAATGGTCCCATGCCATAGGTCTGTTTTAGAGGAGGGCAGCACAAACAGTAGCTCATGTCACATCAAAGGGGCATCACAGACTTGGTAAGGATTGCTGAGGACAATTTCCCCCTACTAGACATGTTTTGCCCCATGCCCATGCCCATGCCCTTAAGCCCGAGGCTTCTATTTTTTCTTAAGTACACAAATTACCAGGGACTGGTAGGGCAAAAGCCAGGGAGACCAACAGTAGATGGCGCCAGACCCAGCGACTGGCAGAGCCAACTGATTCTGGCTGTGCCTCCAGCTTCCTCCCTGCTAAGTTCTACAAGGGGCAACACAGAGACACCAAGGCTGCATACATGCTTCCCTGCAAAGCTTCCTGGGAGCTGTGGTTTGTTCAGGGTGCTGGGAATTGTAGATCTGAGAGGGTAAACTGCAGTTCCCAGGATCCCAGGGTGTGTGGGGCAGACAATGTGCTGAAAGTGAATGTTGTACGTGCAGCATAGGGAGGAGGAAGCTGACTTGGCTTGCAAATAAGAAGGCAGGAAGGTGGGAAGCTGACTGAAGTAGGTGGGGCAATCCCTGCTTGCCCTAATGGAGCAGCCTACACTACGGATGGGGGGGAAGGGGGCTGATCTGGATAAGGGCATAGCTGTCAACCGTTTCTTATTTGGCGGGAAAGTCCCTTATCCCAGCGCTGCGTCCTGCTGCTGTCTCTTATTGATAATGTCCCTTAAAGTTCCCGGGTTTCAAAGGAAGCAGCTCCTCTCCCTCCCTCCCTCCCGGCCAGGGAGGAGGGAGGCTCCAACTGTGTTGCTTGACTGCGTTGCTCACCCAATAAGGAGTCTAAGAACGACTGGGGGGTGGAGCTTGCATGCCTTGTGCCTATCAAATCGGCCGTGTTGCCTGGGGACTCACCTTTGCTCAGCGCTTCCCAGCGGAGAGGTGACGGTGGTTTTCCTTGCTGCATCCCCTTTGCTGGGTTGCTGCGCTGTGGGAACCACTGCTTGAGGCTTCATTTGGCTGCTGGCTGGGCTTTCTGCCTTTGGCTCAGAGGGGTTCAGAAGTTGAACCTCCCTGTGCTCTGAAAATCCTTTATTTTGGCTGCTGATCCCTTATTTTCTAGGCTGCTGGTCCCTTATTTTCAAATCTGTAAGTTGACAGCTATGGATCAGGGCCCTAGTGTGGTGGTAGAGAGAAGCTTTGCAAGCAAACTCCCCTCGATCAGAAACAGTCTCTCCCCAGAAGCACCTCCATGAGCAGTGCTGGATTTACGTATACGCTAAACAAGCTATAGCTTAGGGCCCCACTCTCTTGGGGGCACCCCCAAAAAATTTAAAGGAAAAAAACCTGGATGTACATTTCCAGATAAACTAAAACCTACATACAGCAACAGTGTTTTGTGTTGTGTAGGCTCCTAGGATGTAAGCAATGGGCCCCGCCCACTAGCCTGCTCCCTAAAATATCACTGGTTTGCTCATTTCTATATGTAGGGTGCCTACATTCTGCATGGACTGGTTGCATGGCAACATGTGCAAATGGCTTGAGATACCTATTAGGTCCATAAATTACCATAAATTGCCACAAAAAACAGCGACAACTTGTTGTTGACAAAGGACAGCTGGAAATATAAAGGGCCCCATTACCTCCAGTAGCTTAGGGCCTCATCAAACCTAAATCTGGCCCTGCCCATGAGGTACAGGAACATAGCTGATAACAACATCAAGGGTAGGAGAACAGGGTAGTTTCAGCCACACAGTTGTGCCCCCATGCCTGTCAGCAGTCAGAAACCTTTCAGGAGGGGGCTTGATGGAGATACCTTCTCCCTTGCCGATGTCGGTGGCAATTCTTAACCCAGTGCATGCAAGCTCACATTCAGAAGCAGAGGCAATCTCGGGTTATGATCTAATTTAACATGCTAAGTTTTTTTGTTTTTAATTCCTCCCCCCTTAAATCTCATTTACATCCTGCAACACAGATTTTAAGGACAAACCTCTTTGATCTTTTTAAAAAGGGCAGCAAATGTCTGCCCTTAATTGTATCTGAACATTTCTAGGTAACTTGTAAGTAATAAGGACAGGGAGTTTCGTAGCACTGGAATTTGCATACAGCCAATTAGCATTTCAAAGGGGAATCGACAAATTGTTAGCTGTAGCCCTGATACACATATATATGGCTGGGAAAAGGGTTAGGTGTGCAGTCTTCTAGGTAGCTTCATAAAAACAACAACACCTAAACAGAGTCACCTCAGATCTAAGAAATATGAGGATGAAAGGAGGGCCTGGTTATATCGCAGGGAAGGTTTTAGATTTTTATAAGCAACGTTTTCCTGAAATATGACTGCAGACGTTTATGCTTCCCTTTGACTTCATGTAATTACAGAATTCTAATCTTAATTCAAGGCATTTGAACTCCTTAATAATCAGGGAAGAGAGAGGCATTCCGGTCTGTCACTACATCTTTGCTAAGTCTGGCAACTGCTTTGCACATCCCAGACCTAAAAATGCTTCTTTTTCTGCATTGATCAAATGAGATGGCACACTTTTGGCTTTTAAATGTTTGATAAGCAGTTTGGTATTTTTAATAAAACAACAACAACATAAATCCTGTAATTCTGTTTGAGACACTTTTGTTAAAAGGGATGAACATATATGATAAAATAATAGAAATAGTAATAATTATTACTCCCAGAGGCATTTCCTTAAACCTGAAGCACAGCTTCAGAGTGTTGGTTTTAAGAGAGATACAAGAAAGATCACTGGATGTTAAGAAAAACCTGCTACATTTTCCAAGAGCTAAGTTGCTAGGAACTGTGGTGCCTTGCAAATTCTTTAGGATTAGCAAATTAAGTAAATGTGGTACCTACGGAGAGCAAGGGCAGATTCATCCATCTGTTACTGACTTCCTCATCCCTAGAAGCTCCATCACTCGCAGCTGCGGCTTTCACCATCATCAAGCAATGCTGTAGTGTAAGTTAGACCTGCCCTGAATAGGGAACAGAAGAGGCTGCCTTATATATACCCCAAGTGAGACCCTACTGACTGTCAGCAGCTCTCCTGGGTTTGGGGCAGGGGTCTCTCTCAGCTCTGTCTGGAGATGTGGGAGACTGACCCTGGAACCTTCTGCATGCAAAGCAGATTACTGAGCTAGAGCCCAGCAAGTCAATGCCGCCAAAAAGTCTCACTGCCACCTACAGATCAAGCTTTCCACCTATGACTGGCTTTGACACACCACGTCTCTCCCCCAGATGTGCACTGGCAGCTGTGGAGAACACTGTGTATATTTCAGCTTGGCCCTTTCCCAAAGGGATATAATAGAGTTGGAAAAGGTGAGAGAAATGGCAACCATTCCTTAATAGGAAAAGCCAAAGTGTTTGGAGCTTTCAGAAAAATAATATATGATGCAAGTGGGGGTGGGCAGAGCTTTATCTAATGGAGAGAATGGACAGGGATTTTGTTTCTGTCCCTCTCTCTTTAATACTAGGACATTGGTCACATCCACATCATATATTAAAAGGACATGGCTTCCCACAAAGAAGCCTGGGAACTGTAGGTTTTTTTTTTATTAAAAAAAAGGATCTGGGAATTGTAGTTCTGTGAGGGCTAAACTACAGTTCCCAGGGTGCTTCCACTTTAGTCATCCACTTTAAATGTTCTTTAAATGCATAATGTGGCTGTGACGAGGCAGACAAAAGGAAGATAAGAACCTAGGAATCTGCCTTATAGTAAGTCTGACCATTGACCCAGCTAGCTCCCACCTAAGCCTCACTTTATTATATTACTGCTGGTGGTGGTTTGATGACCTGTCTGTGAAAGGTTGGCTTGCCAGAGTCTGGCTTCTGGCATTGCATGAAAAATCCATCACTGCACTCCTTGTAGAGACCCCAGAGTCAAAGACAAATCCATTAATGTCCATCATCCTCTGTAATGGCAAAGGGTCACTTTTAATTATGCAAAATCACACATGGGTCTTTGGCCCATGTGACCTATGGCCACATGGTGCTACCAGTGGCCAGCCTGTACAATATATGTGGATCTTGAGGTAGTCTCACATACGAATCTGCTGGATCAGGCAAATAGCCCATCTAGTCCAGCATCTGCTTCTTACACTGGCCAACCAGATGCTAGTGGCAAACCCACAAGTAGGACCTAAGCAGAAGATCTGATTTTCAGCAACTGGTATTCAGAAGCATTGCTGCTTCCAATTGTGGAGGCAGAAACTAGCCATCATGGCTAATAGCCACTGGCAGCCTAATCCTGCATACATTTATCCAGTCCTCTTTTGAAACCATCCAGGTGGGTGGCCATCACTGCCTTTTGCATGAGCGAGTTCTATAGTTTGACTATGTGTTGTGGAAACAAATACCTTTCTTTTACCCATCCCGAGTCTCCCAGAATCGGCATCATTGGGTGTCTTTCTCTCCACTTTCTCCATGTCATGCCTAATTTTGTCAGCTCCCCTCATGCCAACTCTTGCTTGCCTTTTCTCCAATGCGGCAACCTTTAAGGAGAGGCAACGAGAATGGCACACAGCATTCCAAATGTGGTCGCACCATAGCTTGGCATAACAGCAACATGTCAGGATCACGACGCTCCAGGGTTTGTTCCTGTTGTTGTTTGTTTAAGGTTTCGTAATGCGCTCTCTATATTTCATGCATTTTGGAAAAGTCTACAGAAATGTTTTCATTCATATATACCAAGCATAGGCAAACTCCGGCCCTCCAGATGTTTGGGACTACAATTCCCATCACCCCTAGCTAACAGGACCAGTGGTCAGGGATGATGGGAATTGTAGTCCCAAACATCTGGAGGGCCAGAGTTTGCCTATGCCTGATATATAACCATACATATCCGTGTATCAGACGAGGTCTTTTTAATTAAAAAATTACATTTAAAATGGGGGGGGGGCGTATTATACACGGATAGTGCATTGGGGGGACGTGTGATTGGTTGCTGCCGCGAGCCGGAGAATGTGAGTGGCTATTGGGTGTGTTATTGGTTGTTGCGGCAAGGGCTTGTGTTGATTGGCAGTTGCTGTGGCAATAAGCCAGGCGATAGGTGGCTTCTCCTGGTGTGGGGACAGACGATAGGCAACATGTGAAAGCGGTGAAGTTCTGGTGGTTGAGCGATTTTCGGCAATCCCCCTTAAAAAAAAAGCTCAACATCTCTGGGCAATCTCTCCCCATTTTTTTAATTTGGAGTCCCCCAAAATAGGGAGTGTCTTATACACAGGGGCGTGTTATTCATGGAAAAATTCAGTGTGTGTGTGTCACTTAATGCAGTCAGAGAATAGCTTGCCTGTTGCAGATGCTTCCAGGCACAATCCGTTTAGCATGTAGCATGCTGTGTGTTGAACTGGGAGCAGACAGCAAGTGGTGACAATGCATTGGCTGATGTGCAGTCCACATGTCTTCTCCCACCACAGTTTGATTTAATTGGCCTCCTGTAGCTCTCGAGAAACACTTGCTTATGTTAATCATGCTGTGTTGAGAGCTGGCTGCACAAATACTCGTTCAGATGTTGCTGAGCCCCTGGAGGAAGAGTCCATGGTCACTGTCAATTGTTGCACATTCTAGAGATGCGGGAGGAGCCCCCACTGCTCTGCTCTGCTCTGCTCTGAATCTTAATGTTGAAAAACCAGCTGGGTCTCTTGTCTTTATTTATCTCCCCCCCCCCAATCACTAAAAACTTCATTTCTTCATTTTGGAGGCAAGAAAGGTTTTTTCTTAAGCAGACTTTTTAATTCTTATGGCAATTAACTGCCCGGTGTGCTTGAAGCAAGAGCCAAGCATAGGAATCCAGGTGTTTCTGTTGAAATCAGAGGGTCAATGGATGCTTCATTCCACAGGAATAGAGGAGGCGGAGGAGATAAAGAAGAAGAAGAAAAGGAATGTGCTGCAGACATCTAGAGGTGACAGTGAATTTTGCTAAGCTTGGGTGCAGAGACATGCTTCTGGGACTTGCTAATGTTGGCTTCAAAGAGAAAGACATTAGAGACCTGTTAAACTGTAATGTTAAAGTGATATCTAATATATATAAGATGTTATTAGAATGGGAGACAAAGGATGAACAAGTGAAATCTTGGGCAATAGATATTGGTCACAACATACAAATGGAAGCATGGGAACGATTATGGAATATGGATATAAAATTTACAACATGTTATGGTTTAAGAGTAAATTATATGAAAATGTTATATAGATGGTACCTAACACCTAGTGGATTGCCAAAAATGTATAAATCAAAATCGAATAAGTGTTGGAAATGTAAAGAGAAAGAAGGGAACTTTTTCCATATGTGGTGGTCTTGCAATAAGGTTAAAACTTACTGTGAAATGATATTTAAGATTTAAGATAAAATTTGTAAAAAACCAACAACCCAGAAGCTTTTCTCTTAGGAATTATGGGATCAGAGCTACCTAAGCAGTATAGAAATTTATTTATGTACGCAACCACAGCTGTAAGAATGTTGTTTGCCCAAAAATGGAAGGAAGAAAAGGTCTCAACAAGAGAAGAATGGTTACAGAAACTAATGGAGTATCCAGAAATGGCGAAACCTACCAGAAGAATAAGAAATCAATATAACAAACAAGAGGGAGACAAATTGAAATTGCAGAGTTTTGAAAAACTAAAAAATAAAGTGCGAGATTGGCTTCATTATTATCAGATAATGGAGGCATATAATTTGGACAAGAAAATTGGTTCCCAGGTGGAAAAATCAAAATTGGAAACAGAACTGTTAGATCCTAAAACCAAGATTTTGTCAAAGATGTATAACTTGCTGTTGAAGTGGAATACCCAGGATGAAATGGTGAAATTTGCTATGATTAAATGGGCACAAGATGTTGGACATAATATTATGATGGCTGACTGGGAACAGTTATGGACCACTGGTATGAAATTTACGGCATGTAATGCCTTAAGAGAGAATATTATGAAAATGATATACAGGTGGTACATGACTCCAGTCAAGCTTGCAAAAATCTATCATTTGCCCAATAATAAATGTTGGAAATGTAAAGAGACTGAAGGTACATTCTTTCACCTTTGGTGGACATGCCCAAAGATTAAGGCTTTCTGGGAGATGATCTATAACGAAATGAAAAAGGTATTTAAATATACATTTCTGAAGAAACCAGAGGCCTTTCTCCTGGGCATGGTCGGCCAATTGGTGCCAAAGAGGGACAGAACTTTCTTTATGTATGCTACTACAGCAGCAAGAATACTTATTGCAAAGTATTGGAAGACACAAGATTTACCCACTCTGGAAGAATGGCAGATGAAGGTGATGGACTACATGGAACTGGCGGAAATGACTGGCAGAATCCGAGACCAGGGAGAAGAGTCGGTGGAAGAAGATTGGAAGAAATTTAAAGACTATTTACAGAAACACTGCAAAATTAAGGAATGTTAGAATGATGTTGGATTGAAGTTAAGTGGTTTTTAGTAGCAATGTTATAAAGGAATATATAAAATGGTTTGTTAACAGGTGATAATATAAAGCTATAATATATGAAGATAAAAGATTAAGATAAAATCAAAAAGGGAAAGGATTTGCTGAACTAACTAATTGAACTGGAATACAAAAAAGGGAGGTGTGAGGAGGTCAGGGAAACAAGCAAATGAAAGATAAGATTTGGAAAAACTGATTTGTTTTTAACTGTTTTTACTTTGTATTTTCTTTTTTTTCTTATTTTTGTAAAATGTTGAAACTTTAATAAATATCTTTTAAAAAAAGAAATCAATATAACAAACTTTTTAGAAAGGAATGGAAATGGTTTATTGAATACTTACAAATGAACTGTAAACAGATCAAGACATTGGCAGGATTATTGTAAAAACCTGCAGTTTCAAAACTATATATGAGATATAAATGAGAATAGATGAATAAAAGAATAAGTTAAGACAATTTGGAGTATGCAGAAAAGGATGAAAAGAAATGTACCACAGAAAGAGGGGGAAGGGAGTTGATGTCGGGAATCTTACA